TATCTCGCGTAGAGAGAAACACGTCCGTTCGTGACGGAGACTCTCTTCCGAGTTGTTTAACAATAACTCCGCGCTCGTCGCCAAGCAACGTGCTCTTCGTTCTTCAGGAACGTGCAACGGGCGACGACTCATCTCCGGCGTAACGGGCGACACGATTCGGGCATAACAATATAATAGGTTTTAATTTTGAAATGGCTTTTGCTGCGTTAATGAAGGATGTCTTGGAAGAAGAAGAGGCAAGAAGAGAAAACTCTATCATTATGAGAACATTAAGAGATACTGTCGATCCTTTCAATTTGACGGACCAACAGTTTACTAAAGTCTTTCGTTTATCTAAAGATGCAGTAAATTATTTGTGTGATGTTATGGAACCTACTCTTGAGCGTAGACGAACAAATGGATTATGTGTGAAGACTCAGGTAATTGTGTTCATTAAAATATACATTTATGTGACATACACGCACGCACTCTCACACACACACACACACACACGCGCGCGCGCGCGCGCGCGCATATATGCATGCATGCATATATACATACAGGCACACATAATACATACATGTGTATATTTAACTGCAATTTAGGTTCTGGCTGCATTACGTTTTTTCGCTATTGGTTCATACCAAAAAGGTATCGGAAATGACTATCTTATATCAATCTCACAACCTGCTGTTAGCCGAGCTATAAAAGCAGTGGCAGTAGGTATTACTCAAACACTTGCCGATGAATGGATTCAGTTCCCAAGAACAGAGGAAAAGCGGGCTGCTTTAAAAAGAAGGTAGCTTTTTAAAATTATAATTCAATTATTTGTATTCATGATTATTTTTATATTTTTAACTAATTTTGATAAATATTTAAGAAAAGTAATTATTTATTTCTCGTATCTAGTTTATTGTTAGAATATTTTTTAATAATCTCCATTTTGATGTTTTTTTCAGATTTCAAGATGAAAGAAATTTTAAAGGTGTTATAAGTTGTATAGACTGTACACATGTTGCTATTATAAGACCAAAAGAGCATGAAGAAGCGTATGCAAATCATAAAGGTTTTCATTCTATTAATGTGCAGGCAGTTAGTTCACATTTTACGAGTAATATTTATATATATATA